TGGCCTTGAACTCACAGAGATCCGCCTGGCTCTGCCTCCTGAGTGCTGGGATTAAAGGCGTGCACCACCACCGCCTGGCTAAAACTAAAACTTTTTTTTTTTTAATCTGAAGGACGCATGCATCTTGACAAACAAGTAAATATTTTATAAAGCTATTGGAAATTACACTGGGGTTATTGGGATATTGACTAGTTGTGGTTTTCTGTCGTGGTCTCCATCGGCTATGAAAAGCAGAAGCTTTGATGAAGGGTGAGGGCTACACTTTTTTTTCTTCAGATTAAAATTATTTTTAAGGCCAGGAGGTGGTGGTGCACGCCTTTAATCCCAGCACTCGGGAGGCAGAGCCAGGCAGATCTCTGTGAGTTCAAGGCCAGCCTGGTCTACAGAGTGAGTTCCAGGACAGGCTCCAAAGCTACACAGAGAAATCCTGTCTCTAAAAAACAAACAAACAAAAAAATATTTTTAATGTAAAAAGACATTAGGTTTTAAACACACATTAAGATTTGAACTCATTTTGAAATTATCTCTGAAAATTAGCATTTCTATTGTGATCTCCATATAAAATCATTGTTCATATATGTGTATATCCAACCGCTATGTCATAAAACAACAGGCAATAATACATAAAATCAAGTAAGATACACATCTTTTTTCCTGACACTAAGTGTAGTTGAAAGTTTTCCTGTGTCCTGTCTGGTCCTGCAGCTGCGCAAACCCAAGTAAACAACACAGAGACTTACATGACTTACAAACTGTATGGCCTAATGGCTTGGCCTTCTCGCTAGCTAGCTCTTACAATAACTCAGCCCATTTCTATCAATGTGTGCATCGCCACGTGGCTTCATGGCTCACTGGTACTTTCACATCTTGCTTCTTTTGGCAACAGCTGGCAGTATCTGCCCCACTCTCCTTTCTTCTCTCTCTCCAGTTCAAATGTCCCACCTAACCTTCTACCTCACCATTGGCCAAACAGCTTTATTTATCAACCAATCAGAGCAACACATATTCACAGGCTACAGAAAGACATCCCACAGCAACTAAATCTGTTTGTTTGTCTCAATAGTAAGCTCTGGACAGATAGGGATCTACTTTTTTTTTTTTTTTTAATCCACCATCACCAGGCTCTAACATCGCTTTACACATAGCAGTAGGTACTATATAAATGGCATGGCCATTCCCTAGGCAGTTGTTTCTATTTAGATACCTTTCCCAACTGTGAAAAAAAAACCTGAGCACTTTTTTTTTTTAGGGTAAATCTTACTTCCCTCAGAAAAATACCAATCAAAAATCTCTGCTTTCCTTATTCTTTATTTTTAAAATTGGTTCTTCCATAATTTCATACAAATATGTTCTTTGATCATTTTCTCCCCCATTACTCTCTTTCATTCTCTTCCCCCTTCTTCACCTGTTTCGCCCCTGACTTTTATGTCTTTCTTGTGTGGCCCACTGCATTTAATTAATCTCCCACCATAGGTGGGAGATTATTTACTTCTGTTCTTCCAGCAACCATTTAATGCCTACAGCTTGGTGAGAGCTATACTTATCTGCAAATTTCATGATTGTATTTTTCCTTGCAGCTGAATGTTATTCCATTGTATACATGCACCACATTTGTATTATTCATCTATCAGTTGAAGAGTATTTAGGTTGTTTCCATTTATTAGCTATTGTGCTGAGCAAGCATCTGTGCAGAACAATGTCAAGCCCTCTGGCCATGCGCAGAGGAGTGGAGCTAGTTCATATAGTAGCTTTTTTGAGCAATATTGGCTGTGCTTGGTTTCTTGCACATGGTCCCCAGTTGGTAGAACTATTCGGCACGAATTAGGAAGTCTTACCTTATTTCACTGAGTGGCAAGTAGGGGTTTTCTGAGGTTTCAATAGCACACACAATCACACCTTTCCCAGTTAGCTCTCTCTGCATCATGTTTCCTAACCAGATGTAAGCTCTGAATTACTGCTCCAGTGCCATGCTTGCCTACCTGCTGCCATAATCCCCACCCTGATGGTCATGGACTCACCCTCTGTAAGCCCCAATAAACTCTTTTCTCTGTAAGTTGCCTTGGTCAAGGTATCTATCCTTGCACAACAATAGAAAGTAACTAAGGTAAGTGTTATTTTCTCCTCCACTGTATGGGTGATGGATAAAAGCTATGTGAAACAATTCTACTCATTGTCTGCATTGTATCTTAGGGGAATAAAAACCTGCTGTGGGCCGCAGGAATATCATAAGAACTCAGCTGGTTATGGCAAAGTCACTACCTGGAGGAA